AGCTCAGTAGCACTAAAACCAACCAACCAACCAACCAACCAACCAGAAACCCAGGCAATTCAAATGTTAGGCAAGAACAGAGATTGTAACACAGAGCTTTACTCCATTGTACGAAACTTACACATGGCTGCTTGGTGAGAGTGGTACTTTCCAAATTCCATGTGTTTTAAGAGAGTAGCGGATAAAGAGAGTGACTTCAAAAAGCAACAGAGACAGCCTTAGCCAACACGCATCTCGATATCCTTGCCTTTGCTGCAGTGTTATAACAACCATCTCAGTGACAGCATTTATGTCTTATCAATTGACTTAGGAAGGAATTATTATATACAATCGTATCACAACCTGCAAAGTCACTCCCTCTTCTCATGCTGGTTACAGCACACCACATATTCAATAACCATATGAGTTCTTGTCTCAAAATGCCTTTGGGCAGCAGTCCATTGTAACAGCGAAGAAACTAATGAAACTCTTTCCAGGTCTTGCCTAATCCAGTACGGGCTGTGAAAGATAGACCAGGGATTCAACACATGCATGCTTTCTTAACAACAAAACAGCTATGGGAATAGTCTCCACAGCTATAAGCACAGATAGAGTTGAATTAGGCTCACCCAGCCCATCAAAAATGCATTTTTTTCCTTTGGGGTTCATTGTGGCAGCAGGATGGATTATTTCATACAGTGTTGGACTTTCCCAGCAGCAGGTGCAAGACCCAACATTATGGTCTCTATATACTTGAGTACTTTGTCGTGCTATTCTGTGTGCCAGTGCAGCCTCTCCGTCTGACGGAATTAACTGTGTGTAAACCGTGTGGAATCTGGCTGGGACCGGTGAGTTGAGAAGCACCTGCAGAAACCAGGCTAAAGTGTTTGAGTATTCAGCGGTGTTTTATTAATTACTATAAAGCTTATAAGTGTATGTTTCAGTATATGGGGTTTTTTTAAGGAAACCAGTTTCTAAGGGAACAAATTCTTAGTTTTGCCAGATTCTCACATGCCTATTAACATTTTCATGGTCACAACCAAGGACATGAAAGGCAGCAAAGGGACAGCTTTCTCTTTTGGTTTTAGTGTGTGAATCTATTTGCTTTTGTCTGAAGGTGTAAAGATTGCAAAACCTTGTATAGAGGCGAAATCTTCCTTTTTATCTTCTGGAGATTTATAGTTGCAATAACAGCAAATAATGGTCTTCAAGCAACAGTGCTGGAGGTGAAGCTGCAAAAACCACAGTGTGTGGGAAGAACAGTAGCTTTAATAAGGTTTGTCACTGGCATTTGGCTTAACAAGTAGCTACAAGCCTTGAAAAATGGATTAAGGTTAGACTGGGGCACATTAACAGTCCACTGCTTTGTTATCACAGGGACACGGCTACACTCTGTTTTGGTTGAACAGCCTCAATGTTTTCACAGCAGATTACAAGATAGACTTGAACCTGCTCAGCTGAGACAGAAATCACAGGGAGGCACTCTCACCAGAGGGAGATTAGTTGTCATGCTCTGACCTTTCTGTGACTTACAGACATATCTCTACCCAAAGCCATTTCGCCCAGAGATTATCCTCTTAAATTGCTGGGGTATGTCATCCTTCTGACACATCCAACAACGAGCCACAATTCCTTATGCTTAATATAGGGTAGCATCTTTTGGAATAGGGAACACTTCCTTGAAAGGGAAGGCCACGCCAGCCTTGTTCTTTACAGCCAGAAAGCTGAGGAAACTGCATCCCAAACGCTCCGAGAAAACAGCTTTTTTCTTCTCCCTTTTGCGGGAAAGGGAAGGAAGTTTCAGACCGATGGTCTTCATTTTACCTTAGAAGATAAAAGGTTTAGAGTCCATACAGTCGGTTTGATGTGAGTGGGTATTACTTTTATTAATATTTTGGTGATATGAATCAGCCATTATAAGTTTCCTAATCTCCTTTCGTATAAAAGGGCTGATGTGAAAGCTTTAAATAGCTACACTAATAACCTAAACTAGTGACAAAGAAGTAAGAATGTCGAGCCCTCAGATCCTTCCATGCATTCTTATCTACCCACTTGCATTTCTTAAGTACTGTAATTACAGAAAATTCTGAAGACATTTTCAATAATTTATAATTAGCTGGCTACATACAATATGTTTATTTGACACAAGCATTGGAATAACTACAAAAAATCAGAGCCTCAGATCTCATAGACCAATATTAATCAATGAAGCATAAGAAAATGTAAGTAGTTACATATATTAATACATCAGAGTATGCTTGTGTAAATCTATCTAGTGATCTAGGAACAGCTTGAATTGGTTTAGATGCAATCTAAATTGCTGGAAAAAAAGGAGTTATACAACCCAAATTTTCTGATTTTTTTGGCTCAAAGGTAAACAAACAATAAACTTGCCCTTCTACTTCAGAAGAGTTGTGTAAGAGGGAAGTAAAAACATTGCTGGAGGCATGATGGCTCCCTATCCGTCCTTAAGAGACCTCTCTGCTCCAGCCAGGAGTAGGAGAGAGGACAGCAATTCTGATTCCAGGAAGCCTCACCATTGAAAATGCTAGAAATTCTATTAAAAAAAGCAGTTAGGAGTAGTCAGATAAAGATTAGTAAGGAAATGATATGGAACAAAATATGTTACTTGAGAAGAAGTACTCCCATATCCTTTGAATTGGTCTGGATTATGTTACAGCAGAAATCAGGGTACCTTTCTACAACATACTGTGCCACAGGAAAATACTTTTTGGAAATGCTGTATTGTTATAAGTGCTTTTCATCCCTTACCATGAATTAAAACCAAACATCTTTATATAACTGTCAAGGGTGTTTTAAAATCATTAACAAGGTCAGCTGTGCTACTAGTAAAATGGGAAAAAAACAAACATAACATCCATGGTTAACAACTGATTTCAGTCAGTGTGACTTTCATCTCAGTATTTCCTTATTTCTGAGCATCAGGTTATTTAGAGGGCATACAGCTCTTCACATAAGGTGCCTCTATCCACCAGGCTTAAGACAAGAGGATCTCTGTCACTCAAGTAGAAGGTGTGCACCTACAGGACCCTAATGGGGCTCTGATGGACAAAAAAAGCCGTATGTGACCAGGCTGAGACACAATTACCATTGCTCAAATGCATCCTCACAGTTCCTGCCTTCAGCAGCTCAGCACAGATACTATTTTACTTATTACAGTAGAATTGGAGGATGTAGGAAGAGACACATTTGTGAGTCCCTTGCCTTCTCCTGCACAGTCTGAGGCCTGGAATTTCCCTGCAGGCTCCTTTGCCCGATGACCTGGGAGCCTACCGTGGCACGCTCACCGGCGGTAGTCGCTCTTAACTTGCGCAAAGGCCAATTAGAGTGAGAGAAGCTGGAGTGTTGCAGCTGGAGGTTTTTACCAGCATGGAAAGGAGGAGGAATACACCTACCTACCACTTAGGCTGCGCATGTTCTCTGTAAAGATCATGTAACAGAGACTTTGAATTCAAGTGCTAAAGGGCCATTACTGTAGGCTACAGGAGCCCCTTTCTTACATTATAGTATGACCTGAAGGGACCAGCAACAAAGGACAATAAATAATCTTTACACTAGGTGCCTTATACACCCATACTAACAGCATTTCTGTTTGTAAGGTACACTCTGGAATGTGAAGTTATGTAGGAGTTAAAAGTGTAACAACTTCTAATTACGAAAATCCTGTCCAAAGGGACATGAGAGGTTCTCGCTGTTGAAGAGCTGACATTATTTTTTGACATACTCAAGTCAACTGAAGGCTGCAACATCTTTGGTTAATTTGCTTTTAAACAAGCATTTTTAGTGGCTTTAGAGGTAAAATTTAAATAATGAATCTTTGTTTGAGAAAGGATTATGTGAAATATAAATAGAGAATAATTCCTTACATCAAATTCAATTACAAGCGGTTCATTTTTAAGCACAAACAGGCAAGAAGCTGAAGCACAGATGTGCTCATGCCCCAAAACAACCAAAGCAAAAGAGCAAAGAGAGCCCCCTTTCCCTTCTCTTCTCTAGAACCGAGCTGACTGTAAATTCAATCACTTAGCCACAAACTGCATGCAAGCCAAGAGAGCAGCTCTCCTACGGATGACTGTAAGGACAACACAGCTATGCTCTGGTCTGTGTTTGGCAACAAAGAGCACGGGAATGAAATCTGATGCCCAACATCACAACTTTAAGACACAGTCAAATGGCTATTATTTTCACTGCCAGAACTAAACTTTATTTCCGTGTGTATTACATACTGGTATTTGATGCCAAGTACATTAAAATTACTTTAACAGAGGATTTAAGTGAGGAATATTTATTCTTCACTAAACAAGTTAAGAAGGAATGTAAAAACCTATAAGAAAAAAAACTGTTTAAGCTTTGTTTTGATTTTGGCAAACCAAACAGTTAAGTACTCTTCTGTTCTCTCCTCTGATCTTCCAAAGTACCAAAAAAGCATCTTTTCATAATCATGCAGCTGAAGAAAAAAAATAGTCTTATAAAATCCATTTCTTATGCTAAATATGGTTACAAATAACAGTATTAAACACAAAACTCCCAATTCCTATTTTTAAATACAAATACTGTATTTATATTATGAAATGGGGATAATTAAAATATATCAATGACTACAAATCTAGTAATTTAAAGCAAACTTGAACATGCTGTTTGTTTTCATGTGGAAGAATTAGGATATTGTATGGTTCAAGCACTGCAGTAATTTCTGTCAACCCCTTGATGCCCAGAATGTCAAACCACCAAACACAGAGACATGTATTCAGGTCTGAATAGCACCAGGTGTTTTTCTTTTTCTTTTAAAGATATTAACATTTAATAAAATGAGTGATGTGACAACCTTCTGAAAGTGACATGCACAAGTAGACAATTTGCTTTAAGTCTCCAACTAATAAGCTAAAAGTTTTAGACAATACTGAACAATTACTAATGTGTTTCATGGTACACAAGAAAACAGTGCTTCCACAGTATATCCTCAGTTCTCAAGTACAAAAATATCAGTTATGGATAGTCAATAGTTATCAAAATTTTTTATTGGTACAGAATGAAAGCAGCATTTACTTTATTGTTTTTTAAACCATACATCATAAAATTCCCTAGTACACATGTGGAGGAGTGAAATAGGCTCTGTACTATTTACCTGCTACTGATCCTAGGTCCAGATTTAAAATCTTTCCTGGCCAAATACAAACAATATCATTAATAGCAAAGGGAAGGCAGTTCCTCAGTGTGAAAGGTCAGCATTTAGAGTCTTACTAAAGCACTATTTTTGAAACAATACATCACTTAAATGTATAATTACATACACTACAAGTGGAAAACAAGTTTTTATTAACAAGAACTATTGAGACTGGGCATAAACATCTTAACCACAAACCCTGGAAATATTATGGGTGCTTTGATGTGGCCCTTTTTGGTGAGAGAATAAGAACAATGAAGTATGGCTTTTCAGTCTTCCTCTAAAAGAATGGTTTATAAAATTTTGTAGGCTTAAATTATTTTAAAGTACCCCTAACAATTTTCTGTAACATCATTTACTAATTAGAAGCGTTAATTACATCAGTATATTAAGCCATTGGCGGATAGTTGATCACCAGCATAACACAGGAGCCTTTTGCTTTTGCTGTTGTTTTTAAGTAAGGGAGGTACTTTTCTAGTGAGAGCCATCCTACAGTACTATCAAACATTTCAGAGGTTACTACATAGCTTCTCAAATAAAATCCTCAACAGTTTTGTTTTCCAGCAGATATCCAAATCAAGCATATGCAGAGAGCAAATACAATCAAGTGCAGACAGTTCAAAAGTATCTCTCAAACATATTGTTTTATAGTTACCCTCTGCAAAATAAAAGCCCCTCCTCACCTCAATGAGACAGGGCGAGAAGGGGAAACAGGTCTGCCATTCATGTAGGAGTTTGGCTAGCATAAAGTTTTATTAAAGTTGTTAACAAAAATAGTTAAACATTTTTACAATTTAACATCCAGTCTGACAAAAGGCAAATCAATGAAAAAAATACAAAAAAGTAAAAAAGTGCACTACCCAGTCCAGTATTTTGCTTTAAAGTCATGTCACTTACAGTATATGAAAAATAAACCCAGAAGTGTAATTACTTTAAAATACACCGCTTCCATATTTCAGTATTTTACACATATATTCTATAGTGGAAGAGGAGATCTCTTAAAAACTTTACTCTTAAAATATTGAGGTGCATATGCCAAGTGGGATAGACTTGGCAAGTTAAGTTGCAGTAGAGAATCCTTTCAAATTTGGCATTTCATTTACATACCTTACCGTGCCAGCAAGGTCTGTAGTACCTAAACCTTCTAGTAAGAACAGTCATTTTCTTCAATGCAGATTTACTAATACAGACAACTACAAGAAACAGTGAGGTCAGCAATTCTATGGGTTCTTAAGTAGATACGAGTCCTGATTTAGTCATCAAATGGTACAATGTCACAATAAACTTTAAGGCCATGTTTTATTTGCTGATTAATGGACAAAAGGCAATGGATTCCCCCCCCAAATATTTTCTTGAAAGTCTGTGCTCATAAAAATCATGAAAAGTTGGAAAGACTTAATTATTGAAACTTTAAATATATTTTACACAATCTTGTTTGTACAAAAATACAAGTTAAATATAAACATAAAGCAATCATGATAATTTTATGTAAATCCATTTTGTGATATTCTGTTATATATAAAAAAGTTTCTCAGCTCTGTCTCATTTGTGAAAAGATCAATACCAGATTGAATCACTACTGGCAAAGGGCCCTAAAAAGCACACTTTAGCATTAAATATGTTTTACAATGTAAGTACCATTTCCTGATTTCATCTTTTCTAAAGACTGGCAAAAGATAGGGCAGTATGTCCATAAACCAACAAATAATTTGGCTACAATGTCATAAAACACAAACACACAAATCTGTACAATAAACCCAGTAGCTATGCAGTACATACTTGTTACACACACACATACACAGACATGGAATGAAACTTAGTGAGACGCCATTTCTAGTTCACTGTTCTTCAGCCTGGCATTTTGTCTTACTTCATCAAATGAATATGACTTCGTTACCTTTCCATTCTTAAATACTGTATGAAGGAGATCCTGCAAGAAATACCACTGTTTTAGCAAGAGTGATTTGGCAAATGAACAAACAACATAGGTTACACAAACTCAAAAGCAAGCACCCAAATCAAGCCTGGTAAGACTAAAGCTTTAGACTGTCAAGATACTAAATTTTTACAGCTTCCTCTGACACCTTTCACTAATGGTTAGACAGAAGAAAGGATTTAGGCCATCCTGTGCACAGACAGAAGCTTTGTACTGAGTGGTCCTTATCTGTCCACATCTGGCCAAAGCCAAATACACACATGCTAAATATACCTTGCTAGAGCAGCTAGTAAGAAAGGTGACACTCAACCAATTAAATACAATTCAATTACAGACGTTTAAATGAAATCTTTATTTCCTCTAGAGGAACTGTGGGAAAAAAAAAATTAAAAAATTTTAAAAATCTTTCTTCACAGTACCCTTTGTACATATATTTTTTAAAGCAATGTATCACGAAGTGCTTGCAAAGAACACACAAAGAGCAATAAGCACAGCTTTGTACAGAAAAGTTAGCACAAAAGCAATGTTGACCGGTTGCTCTGCTTGACCTATTGCAAGGACCTATGGCTTTAGGGAAATGGACCCACAAAAGAGTACATTTCCCTGTCATTTTCCAGGAAGCCCCAGAATCTGTACCACACAAATAACCCTCTCTAATATCCCAGGACAGAAAATTTTTTAATTAATTATTTCACCTGTCAAAAACAAAGGAACTGTATATCACCTAATTTCAGAGCTGAAGTCTCGTGATTTGTTTTGAAGAGATTTCTCACCATTAGGTCCCTCCCTCTCTACATATATATACACATACCTGAATGTTCATCACAAACATATATACATGCAGATGTGTATATATAACTCGCAAAGTCTTTTTTCTTAGATCTTTGCATCCAGAGCACATTATCTACAGTGTACATACTTCAAGACAGAAAACAGACTGAGTTATCTCAGATCTCAGTTTTATGCTTACTGTTGCATAAAACAGTATGCCTAGTAGTAGCCCGCTGCCTAGTAGCACAGAAATGTGCTTCTGTATACCAGAAAACTCAAGAAACTTCCAGCTTTTAAAGGCTGAAGTGTAATTTGATAACTTATTTTCAGTTCTCTTAATTCAGGAAGAGACTCAACATGCAGTTAAACATTTAATTGCTTGCACACTGAGAACATAAGAAGTATTACACTGAAAGTCTGAGATTGGCATAAAGTTTGTGCTTATTTTACTGAAATAGCTTTTCATTTTACAATCGTAAGAATTAACAGGGAAACTGAATTCCTGTTTTATAGTTACCTCTTTGAAAATTGGGCAACTACTCCACGTACAGAGCATTAACACCTGAAGGAACTATTTAAAAATCTCAGTGGGGAAGTAGAAACAAATTTAGTTACATCTGTCCCTCTCCCACCTCCAACTTAGGTCACTACTCAAATTGTGCAATATAGCCCACACAAAACTACTTGGCTAGCATATATTCTGCAACACTGACACATTAGTTTTGGGAAAAAGCAGCAATGTTCTCTTGTTTCTGGAGACAAACAAAAGAGAAAGATCCCTAATTGTAAAGCCTGAGCATTCTACTGGCATTCTAACATTCTGCTGTTACCGAATTTGGCACTGGGGACAATTCTGAGGTAATAAGATGGGAGTTGAAAAACAAAAGTAAATCAAAAATAAATTCTGAAATTAAGTTATAACCTGCTTTTTCTTGGTCTATTTTTGCACCAAGAATGATGTAATACATTTTGGAATTCATACCTGTCCATACTCTTCAAGATCTCCCTTGCCTTCTTCAAGTGTCACATAATCTCCAGCAGGTGTCCTATGCAACGACAGCCGTCCTTTCTTTGACCTTTTGTTTGGATCAGCAACTGGATCCTTGAAGACATTTACCTAAAATGAAAAGAATATTTTTTAAAAAGGAATGGGCTTTGTGGGGCTTGTGTACCTAATGCAGATGGTGGAACAGGAAATGTCAAACAGGTTTTCAAGTGGGGAGGCCTGCACTGAAAACTTAATGTTAGAAGTTGTACCAAGACATACCCCGAGACCGTTGGTCACCACGTAACTACACTTGAAGGAACAGTTTAAGAGATCTCTGGTTAGTTTCTGCAACAAAGCTCCACCAGATCCAAAGGCAATATTCTCAATACTCCATTTATTCTTCTTCATTCCCTCCACAATCTAATAAGAAAAAGAAAATTATGATGGAGCATACTTTTAGGCCATGCTGTTTTTCCATAAAAATATTATTCTACTTAAACAAGATGCTTTTACAGACAATTAAACCAACTAACATTCAGTTTCCAGGAGATGTACATAACAATTCTGTCAATACTTGGCACATTGTTTGCATTTTTATTTGTGATTGTAGCATGGCATAATTATAGAAAGCTTTTGCTGTAAAACTATTATCATGCCAGCATATATACTTCCCAAACTAGGGCAGCACAGTAATGCAATGCCCAGACAATCAGAGCTCTAAAGAAAATAGAAGATTTCATGGGAATATTGTAGAGCCTTCCATTTTCTCAGAATTATGGGAAGACCTCAGAGCATAGCTTATATCCTGAAACAAAGCAGTCATCTTGCTCATCAACTCCAGAAAGTTATTACCCACTTTGACCAATGACTTCAACAGAGCAGTTCTCCTGAAAATCACATTGACTAGGATTAGGTTAGCAATTTCAAAGATGGGTAATGGAAACACATAAAGCTGTTCAAAAAGTTTGCTTTGCCACCTTCTCAGGCAAGTACAGATCAATGTGAACTGCACTGCTATCATCAGTCAAGTTAAAACTTACCATATCATTTCCCCCCACCCTCATTCTATCCAGACAAACATGACATCCTCTAGCCTGGAGTAATGCGTGCTAGTTTAGTCATGCTCATAAATGGCTGAGATTTGTTTCCCTGACCCGTTACCCTTATGACAGCCTGAAATGATAGTAATAGCCCCAATAAGAGAGTGTTTGAACTCCTACACCCTAATCATTTTACTAACAAAAGTGCGTGAGAAAACTTCAGAGTGGGTGAAATGGCAAAATCCCATCCATCCAGAGAAAAGGAAAGTGAGAAGCAGAATGTAAGGACATAATCTATGGGGAACAGTGCAGAGTTTAAAAAAATCAACATAATCGAAATCTGGCAATCTTTTGTGCAGTCTCAGCCCCCTGCATCAAAAAGAAATGCCAAAGTAACACTGAACAAGACTGTTTCAGGAGTTACTGTTGTCAAGCCATTTTTTTTAAGGGACAGCTAAGGCAAAATTAAAGTTTCATTCATTAGGGAAAAAAAAAGAAAAAGAAAAAGAGATAATTCCAACTTCAGACAGTGGCAAACGGGTAGCCAGTGTAAACAAAAGAGCATACTAGTATTTTTTTTTATCCATTTAGTCACATGCAGACTGTCTCTTCACAGATACTCTCAGTCGGAATGCCTGACAAGAGGCCAGCCAACAGGAGGGGTAGACTGCAGAGCCATAACTTTTTGAGGGCATGCTCTCAACACCTTCCCACTACATTTTTAGCAGAGACTTCCCCAGCAGAGATCTCATCAGTGAGTTTCCATCATTTTAATGGTACCAGCTTACTCAGCCTCATCCAAGAAGCCAAGCAAAAAGAATCTCAGGCCCTACCACCATGACTTTCACTTAAGGGAACCCTTTGGAAGCTTTGTATCCTGAACAAATACCCCCTCAATAGGTGACAATCCTGCAAGTTTTAGCAGTGGTCATCATATCCTTTCAGACAGTGACCATGCACAAAAGGAATCTGTATTTTCAAGTGATTAGGTTCTCCTGGAAGCAGTTAAAATGGGTACTCAGGGAGGATAAAAGATTAAAATTAATTAAATTCTCCCTTAAGCAACTCAGAAGTAACTGAAGACAAAGGAAGGGTAAGAAAAGGGATTTGGTATACCCTTTCCTTAAGCACAAGGCTTAATAGTACCATAAGAAACCAGACTTGACTGGGCCTGGATATGGACTCTGCTTATCTATGCTGTCTTTTGAAAAGGCAAGTATAGGTAAACTCCACCGAGACTCTAATCAAGTTCTGTCCAGGTGCTGACCAAGCCTGAGCTAAGGTATTCTACTCCTTTCCTTATCCAGTTTTATAGATCAGGTCTGACACTGAACTCCCTTGAACATGCCCACAAGATGTAGCACAGAATACCTGGTATGAACAACAACCTACCAAGGCACACGATGCTCAGACTTCACGTTCACTGATCCTTGTAGGTTAACAGATGCTAGTACAAGTATAGTATAGCTGGGCCATGGCCGCTTAACCTTCTTGCCTGGGTGAGAAGAAAGGTGAACCCTCTCTCAGCTGGTGTTCCTGCTCTCATTTACAGACAGTTTGCTCACGTTGTGCCACAGGCACAACTCCTCACTTACCTTGGGTGAAGAACTGGCTTCCACCTTTCCACTCTCTCCCAAGGAATTTCCTTACTCTGACTAATCTTCGGCTAGTGAGGGGTGGAAGGAAAGGGACATCGAGACTAAGCTGAAAGACAGCTCTGACTGTACCAGTGACGTACAGCAGAGGCCCATCCTTAGGCATGGGGAAGAGATGGCAAGCAGCAGCAGTAACAGGGAAGAAGAAAAGGGTGAGATCTGAAATGACTAAGCCTCCCCCCAAAGGAAAGCAATACAGAAGAATTTCTTTTCTCACACTTTCAAACCTACGCAGGGAGAACAGTTCAGGTGTCAAGGTTCTGACCAGCTTCCTCTGACCATTATGAGCATGATTAATGCATCAACTGTGACTCCAGATTAGAGGATTTTCTTTGAATAAAAATTTAAAAGACATCTGGAAATTGAATGTTCAAAGAAAATCCTTTGAAAGTGTAGTATATTGTGGAGTTAGCAGATTGGAATGATTTTAAAAAGTGAAAATGCTAGAAGAAAGTCAGAAAAGGTTCCTTACCTGTTCTACCAGCATCCCCTATTAAAACAAAGAATTTTAAAATCCAGTTTATATTCTGAGTTCTTTTCTATATTGTTGTTTCAGCTAGTTTGGATAGTTAAATAAGACTGATTGGTCATTACTCATTCTATATTTTCCTATGGTACCCATTACCTTCCATCTGATCCATAACAATAAATCATGCCAGGAATCTAAGACTGATATGGAGTAATTAGAATAATGACTTGCATAGGCTATGAGAGGGGGAAAAAAAGATGGTCACAATAATACATTTATATTTGTTCATGTAAGCTCCTTTTTGAAAAGGATGAATTATACTTCAGGGTTGGGGGGGGGGGGGGGGGTTTTTTTTTTTTTTTTTTTAGTATATT